ATCCTTATTTAACAACAATATATTTATTCATTTCAAAATTCGTTACAATTAACCCATCATGATCAAGATGATACTTGTTTGATATATTTACTTAATGGAACAATAACCTCTTTATTTAATATCACATGTTTCAATTGTTTTACTTTATATCGTATTGAAAATTATCCATTTTATAGTATGGCATTTTTTTTCTTATTAAAATAAAGAACAACGTTAATCTTTCTTTTTTAGCTTTGACTACAAATTTATTTGATGTTCAAATATACAACTTCAATTACTTTTCAACTTTCGATGCCCATAGGTGATTTCAATTTATCATTAATAAAAAGAATAGTATGTATCGAAATTTCGATAATAAAAAATTTCAATTTTTTAACTCATCTTTGAGAGTTTAGCTTGATGCTACTGTTCTGACATGTGATCAAAAAAATGATAAATATTTTTATCGAACAGTTGTATTCACTGTAATATAAATATTATTAAAACAAATTTCAATATTTTCAAATATTAGTCGAAAAAAAATTAGCCGTTACATTAAACATATTGCCGCTTTTTTAACATTATATAATTAATTATATCAAACCGACTTATTGGAATATTCAACGTCTCACTTGTCGTTTAACTTATTCTATTGGTTTAAATCAAGCTAAATGAAATCTAATAAATAGTTGACAAGATATTTGTTACACACATTATTCTAAATCACATATTCATTTAATTATAAACAAATAAATTTATTATTATGACTAATGTAAAATAATAGATTGACAAGTAATATCAATAAAATATGTTTGTTTTTATTCTTTAGGATAATGACTCCGAAATATCGTCTAAAACTTCGAAGGATTCAAAAAAACAACACAAAGGAGTCGTTGTTAGATATAATGATGTTCGAAAATTTGGTTTCATAAAATGGTAAGTTAAATATTGAAATTGCTACTCAAGTATAGACAAAGAAAATCTATCTTCTTATACGTTTTATATTTTAGTTCAAAAAAAGAAACACAATTAACAAAAGACATATTTTTTCATAAATCTAATGTGTCGAAAAGTACTTTTAATCCTAAAATAAAACAAGGCGATAAATGTCGATTTGACATTGATGAAGGTTAATATTTTTTATTTGTATATTAAAAAAAAAGGTTATAAATATTTTAGGAGAAAAAGGTAAAATGGCAATCAATATTAACATAAATCATAGACCAATTGCTAAAAAAATTGGAACAGAAAATGACTTGAAAATAGAACTTTTCACACAAACAATGTAAGCATAAGCTTTATTTTACGTTTATAAATATAAATTATGTTTTAGGTTAAAATTTTTTGATGCAGCCACATCGATTCAAAAAACAAAAAACAAAATTTAGTTAATCATTTATATTCCTGACGAACAATACATTCGTGTAGAATATCTAACATTTGTTCTATTAAAAAATAAATAAATGCTTGATTTGAAATTTGAAAAAAATAAATAGATAATTTCATTTCGTTTTCTCTTTTCTTTTTATTGATTTGTTATAATTTAAAATGTACAGTACTAAAAAATGATTTCTACTGTTTTCATTTACACCTGTAGTTTTATATAATGGTAAACTTTTTAACACAAAAAATATTGAAGAATAAATCAAAAGATAAATTGAACAAACTAAGTCAAAGAAGATTAAATTTATTTCATACGAAGATCAAATGAAACAGTAACTATATTAAAAAAAACGTTCATTTAAACGTTTTATACAAAAGGAAATTAATAACACTTAATATTAACGATCTTGATTATTCAATAAAAAACATAGTATATTTATGCTAACCTGATTCTATAAGTAATTGTCTGTAAACAAAAAAATTTAAATTAAGGAAAGTACGTTGAATATGATATGTATCGACATTATAATAAAAATCTAGAAAACTGTAATCAACAAGTCGTCTACCGCGAACAAGTGGCTTCTGTGCAAGACTATCATTATATAAAATAGGACAAAGCCAATTGAAACCACGTGATGTATATTTAAGACAACGATCAAGATAATGAGGTACATCACGAATATCATTTGTAAGATTGTAGCAAATAAAAGATTGAGTTGCAAATGCTTCAATAAAACTATGTGTCTATGATTAAAATTTTAAATTAAAAAAAAGTAATATAAATAATTTAACATACAGTAAGTACTGTAAAACCATTAAACGCAACTTGAACTATATCAATATCAAATGCATACAATATAGATGATATATTTATATTTTTTCGTTTAAATATAAATTGAATTCGAAGTTTTCGTTTTTCTTTAACATCGACTAAAAATTCTGTTAATAATCCAGGAACATTTCTTTCTTCAACTATTTTTGAATAGGCCATTCGTTTAAAACGGCCTATTGCATTTTCAAATAAGTGTAAAGAACCACCTAACCAAAAAAAATCGAGATCTTGTAAAGAACTGTCGAATCCATTTTTTAGAAGACAGTTTAGAACGGAACCACCTAAATCAGTCATATACCATACATATTTCAATAATAAGAAAAATGATTTAAACTTACCAGCTAACACAAACAATGAAAAATTTATCCAAGATTTGATAACATCAAAACAGAACTTATTATTTAAATTAAATAAAAATTCGTTCATATTATTCACAAGAATTGGTTTTTGACATTCATTAGTTGGTCGACATAAACGAAATAATAAATTTTCAAGTGGATTTAAATTTCTGTAATTTAATAAAAATGAATAACGAAATAATGGAAAAACTGGTAACGTAGGATATAAATGATAACACGAATATGAGTGAAGTCTCACATAAGTTCGAAATGAATCCGTATTCCAACAACACATAAGTTTCATGAATTGCTCATACGAAAATCCATCATAGATAAATGTTAAATAACGTCGACCAGAATCTTTTAGAAAAAGTTCATCTTGTATTAATTGATAAGTACTACGAGTATCTTGAGGAAATTCTATATTTATTTTATCCAATTTATTTCTATGAAAATAATAAATATATATTATTTAAAAATATAACATAAGTTATTTAGACGTTTTTTAACTTTTGAACAATTCTTTTTTTTCTTTTTTTTTCAATTTCTTCAAATGTAATGTAACTTACGTTTCTAAAATTTTCCAAAAAGCACGATTACATGATGCTGCTTCAATTGGTACAATCGTGCTAAATTCAATAGCTTCATAACCAGTTATATAATAATTTATATAGAATAATATTTCCAAAGGAAATTTATACAACCATATTTTTTGTTGAGTATTTTGTTTCAATTTAAATATTTTTTCGAATGAACGAGTTGATCGTTTTTTCTGTTGAATATAATTTATTGGCTTCATTTAATTTTATAAACACTACTGATGTGCACAAATACTTTACAATATTAAACGTTTAGATAATTAGATCAGTATGATCGACATTCAAAAATATAATGCAATTCGACCGCCAATTGTTCTCAATTTGATAATAAGAAATCAATTATTCTATACGTTTGAATATCACTTAAAACTTCTACATAAAATATAGTATTTCAAAAATAGCAAAAATTCTTCAAATGAAATCCTGATAAAACAATAAATTTTAATCGTGATCAAATGAACTTGATTTAGGTTAGAAATTAGAGTATAATATATGTTCTATTTAATATAATTAATATTTATATTTTCTATTTGCTATATTTATAAATACAAAATCATCTAATGTCATAATCTTCTTTATAAAAAAAAATACCCATTTGTGTGTATACAACTTACTCAACTAGTTAGAGTATAATTGAGATAAGCAAGACTTTCTAGTATATCTTTACACAAAATAAGAAAAATTAAAAGATTCTTCATTCAACAATTATTATTTTTATTTATTAATATTGCGTAAATAAATACACAAAAAAATTATGGTGCACATTTAAATGTTTTTCTTTATTTAACATATATTAATGTTCTATTTTTTTGTTTTCATATGTTGCCATTTATTCTATTTCTAAAAAGAGGAAAACAGTTTTCTTTTAAAAACCGAATATTTTAATTACTTTGAATTTTTTCGATGACTTTTGAACGAAAATGATACATGATTTTAAATTTGTCGTCGTTGTCCATAAAAAAATCGATTATTGTATCTTTATCAATTTCACCAGCTGATTCACCCAAAACATCTTGATAAGCTGTTAAATATAAACATTCATTTTTATCGTCTACAAGCAACAAATCAAACATAATACAATCAATAAATGTATATATATATTTACCACGTGCAGTTATATCAGCACGAATTGAATTTGTTTTTCTTTTAAACGATGCACCACAAGCTGAATTCGAACATGTTACAATTCGTTCATCAGATGTACACTTTGTTTTACAACGTGGACATACTGTATTAATATCAACAACAACAGATTCGACAACACATACAGTTTCTTTAAACAATTGAACTTTAACATCAAATAATTCTTGTGCACCTTCTTCATCATAATTCGATAATTCAGTTGTGGATTCTTTAAAAATAAAAATTCACATATAAAATTTTAAATATAATTTTAATTAAGAATTTTAACAAGGTTTACTTGTAAATTCTGTACGAAATGTTGAACTAAAAAAAGTAATACCATTAGCATCAACCATTTTTCGCATGTGTTTCAATGTAATATTGTCGTTTTCGACTATCTATAATATATGTATATATCTGTAAATATATTAATACTGAAATTAAAAAAAAAAAGACGAACTTCTTTTGCAAGATTTTCCCATAACATAATTATCAATGCACCTGTTTCATTTGCAATCACACCACCACGACATACTTTATCAATTTTACTTTGCTTTGTACTATCAAACTTCTTTATTATTGTTTGATTATGTAATTTGAATATACGACCAGTAATTGTTACAGTATCATCATTTAATATGCCATCTACATCATTATTAACGATAGCATTAAGATCAGTTGTTTCATTCGATGATTTACGACGTTCAAATATAACAGCTTTTGGTTTAATTTCAGTTGTACGACATGTTAAAAAGCAACCTAAATCAAAAATAATTATCATAATACAATAATCAAAAAAAACAATTATATTTTTTGTCTTTTTATATATTATTTAGTCTTTATTTTTTATAAAGAGATACGATTAACTATATAAATATAATATATAGACAATTCTATTAACTATTCTAATTATTCTTACCTTCTGAATCTTCTGATAAACCAGATACTAAACTTGATTTTTTTTCACGACAAGCTGTTAAAGCATTTTCATAAGCAGCACTTGTTGTATTTGGTTTTTGAAAAAAAAATAAGACTTTTTCTTCTTGATTCATACCAGTTTGAATATGACCTTCGGCAAAATTATGATTTTTTTTACCTTCTTTTACAGGTGAAATATTGCTCCAATATCCAGATAATGTTTTAAATCGTTTGTTATTCATACTTGTTTCTCGGTCGATTTGAATGAAATTGAATTTTAGCTCTAATTAAATCCAGTTATATAGACTTGCTTTTCGCGCCATTTAAATAAGATTCAATTCTAGCTCAAATCAAATCTAATTAAAGTCTATCCTTACATATGTAATTTATATAGCTACATATTTAAAGTGAACATAATTCCATTCAACTTAAATTATTAATTAGAAAAACAAAAAGGTTATCAAATAATAATCAAAACGTTTTACTAAAAATAAAATATTACTTAATCAAGTTCTTTAATAATTCAAAATAGTACTTTTTATTATTAAAATCCTTTACAGGAGGTGTCACAAAAACACGATTCTGATTTTTTAAAATTTTGAGCTAATTAAAACGGAAAATAAGAGCAAAACTTAGACGCCACTTTTCTCTGACAACTGTTTTATAGCTGTAACTGCAGCTGATAATAGATAATGAATCATCTAGATAATTGAAGAATGAATTATCGGTATTCTTTGAATATATTATAATTTCATGTCCCAATTTCGATAAAACAAATTTAAATTTATTCTAGTATAATCGTAAATGTTAATAATTTTATGAAAATCTTTGAATTGTGATACCGAAATCGAGTGAAACTTGAATGCGATCTAGTTCTAATTGTTTTAAATATAATTCATCCTTTTTCTCAGAATGTATCGATATTCAGATGAAAACAAGTTTTATTTTACATATACATTTATTTTCTAATATTACAAAATAAAGACAGATTTTTAGAATCATATTTTTCAAATCGTGTAATACAAAAAATTGATATTACATTTACATTCTGTATATAGATTTCATTTTAAAAAATAAGCATATAAGTTTAGCGCCAAATTTTTCTAATTAAAAGAAAACTAATTATCCTAATATCATTTCAATTTCATTATCGTTTATCATTACTTCACGTCGAGAACTTCTCTACTATCATAAAAATATAATACTTAAGCAAGCACAATGAACACTGTTATCGGATTTGTAACAGAAGTTACGGACGAAAAACCTGGTCCATTTGAAAATTATAGACGTTTTCAACTAATGAAACTCGACAAAGAAATCATATCTGGTTCAGTTTTTTCAATAATGCCTATTCAAGAAACAACTTCTGGTGCTATACTTTTATCTGCTGAAAAAAACAAATCAGCAGTTCGTTTAGTAGGCGAACTATCTAAGGATGAAGGTAATGCAAAATCACCTGCTGAATGTTACTTACATATACGTTTATGTTTTAAATTTTTTTTAACATGAAACAAGAAGATATTTATTTCTCGACTTTGATTATATTTAGAAATAATAAGATCAGACTCTAACGGTAGTTGTTAGTGAACATAGAATAGTAGCGAAAAAAATAAACAGAGTGAATTATTTTTCTTCCTCCTCCTGCACAACGTAACAAAATGTTTACAATAAAAAAGTTAATTCAAGCTGATAATTTTTTCATCGAGATTAGATTGTACTATAATCAAAACTACTAAACTAAACAAACCCTAAAGTCATACCTTTTATTTTTTTTTGTTTTCCATTTGATAAAAATAAACTCAGGATAAATATGACATCATTTTTTATATTCAAAGATAATCAACAAACAATAAAACTGTCAATTAATAATAAATATGACAAATGTATTCAGTGGGCTGAAGGTGAAATTGTACGACCTGATTATAATATAACAACAACTCCAATTTATGATGCACTTCAGTCTAGTACATCGAGTCGATTAGAAGCTGTCGTATTAGATGAAAACCGAGAGATATTTGTTAATGAATATGAAAAACCATATATGTATAAAATGTTTATTATTGGAGACATTAGTGGTACTATACCTTTAATAGTATACGATCATTTAATCGATTCATTAAAAATAAATGAGACTTTTATATTTACTCAAATTAAATGGAAAAAAATACATGATAAAATTATTTTAACTACAACTCCAAATACTATAATCTCTCAAACAACAAATGTAACTAATATTTTAATCATTTATCTGTATAAAAATATGTATAAATAATTTCTTAGGTAGTCAGTCCTAATTTACATAATATGGAAGAATCGATGTTATTCAATCAAATGGACGTTCAACAAATAAATACTTGTTTCGAAGAAATCACAAATTCACAAAAACAAATGACATGTCTTTCATGTAAACAAAATTTAATACCAATCAAAGGCAAGGAACATTTATTAAAGTGTCATAATTGTTCCCAATTTGCATGGTGTAAATTGAATGATTTTAACGAAACTTTCGTTCTTCAAATTGGTAAGCTTTATTACTTCATAAAGATATAAAAAATCTATTTTTTACAATAAATATTTTATTCTATTATTGATTAGATAATCAAAAACGTTCATTTACTGCCGTAAAAGATGTTTTAGAAACTTTTTTTCAACAACAAAACGCCAATCTACCATTAACATTCGAAAATTTATTAAAATATTATATGTTTAATGGACCCTGGAAAATAACTTTAAGTCATTTTCATAATCTTATTCTTCATATCCAAAAAATCTAAATGAAAATTTGAATTACAATATATGACTTTTGTGCTTTTCAAAACTTCTCTATTTGTTTTTGCTTCTTTTTTTCTTTGAACCACATATGTGTTCGTTCAAATAATTCTTTCGCAAGAAACTCCATTAAATATAATTATCATTTAAATCTTTAATAAACTTTATCAACATAATCGATACTATTAGAATTAATAATATTCTGAAATAAAAGAATTTTGTTTAAAAAAAAACCTTATAATTGATTTGTTAGTTTCGATAATACAAATTTCATTTTTTTGTACTATGATTTTCAATGTTAACAATTTTGTAAAAGTCTTAAAATCGTTATTTCGAAATCCTGCTATTCGCATCGCATTTCGTAGTCGGGTGAAACTCGGATACCATCTAGTTCTTTCTTTCTCGACGTACGCATCAAAGTGGTCATTTTGTGGCACGATTATCATAGCAATGAAGCATCAGAAAATACTCGTTTAAACGCAATAATAAAATATCGAGATCGAACTGATATCATTCGTTTTCCAGTTTTTAACAGGACGTTTAGTTCGTTTACAGGAAGCGTCACAAAAACACGATTTTGACTTTTTCAATTTTCGAGATAATTAAAACGAAAAGTAAAAGCAAAAGTTAGGCGCCATTTTTCTCTAACAACTGTTTTACAGCTGACAGTGCATCTGATAATAGATAATGAATCATCTAGATAATTTTGTGAAAATCTTAAAATCGTTATTTCGAAATTCTGCTTTCGCATCGCATTTCGTAGTCGAGTACAACTCGAATACCATCTAGTTTCCTACACCATATTTCTTCCAGCTACGATAGAATTGATGTTTTAGATTGATGAGATGTTTGGTGACTGGACTTATTTCAATGTTAATTTTACCAGAACTTTGAGGAATAGCTGAACGAGCTGCTGCTACAATACTTTCACTAATAAAAGTTGTATATTCATCGATATCATTTGTAGAAACAATTTTGCGATTCACATCCCACTGCATTAACTTTTCATTTAAAATATGACGATAAAGAGACCAATTTGCTAATCTAAATGAAAATTGAATTCGTGGTGATGGTGGTTTATCATCAGCCATTATCATTAAATCAAATGCTAAAGGTTTATGACCACTAACAGTACCAAGAGGCATATGAGTATTAACATTATTGATACAGAAGATAATAGGTCGAGTTGCTAAAATCCAATCTAATTTTTCTTCGTAATTATTTCGTTCATATGTAGTTATATTATCATCGATACAAGAGAATGCAGTGTTATTCAATAACTCTTGTAATTGAATTCCTTTACTATTTGTTTTACGTGAACCTAATAAAGTTGATGCTGCATTAAGGTCCCCCATTATTAAACAATTATTATTCATATTTAGAAGTTGATCAAATAATCGTGAAGAAATTTTTATTTGAGGTGGTATATAAATAGAGCAGATTAAAAGTGTACCACTTTGTGTACTTATTTGTACAGCAACACATTCATTGTTGTCAATATTTTGAGAAAAAACTTCATAATATGATATTTCCTTTCTTATTGCAAGAAGAACACCACCACCTTTTTTGACAGAACGATCAAAACGAAAAATATTAAATCCAGGTAATTGAAATTGAGTTTTTTCATGTAAATTTGTCTCATTAATTGAAATAATATCCATTTTACCAAAACGATTAAAAATTTCATCTTTATATTTTTTTGCTGAAGTTGCGTTAACATGACAAAAATGCATTATATTATTAAAGATTTGGTTTTGGATTTATTGGTTTTCTTGTGGTACTTTGATTAGCATTATTTGTTCGTTTCGGTTTGTGAGTAGTAGGTGAATCAATGTTGGAAGTGCGTTTAATTCCGTTGCTGTTCATTGTGTTAGATTGTTGTTGTTGTTGATGCGTTATATTTGCATGATTTGATTCACGTATATCACCCATTTCATCATCAACAGCTGAAAATTGATTTTGATTATTTGAGATCTCTAATGAGTGATCATGAACATTTTTCGTTTCTTCACTATCAGAATCAGGACTAATTTCACAAGACATGAAATCCATAGTTGTATCAAGTGGTAAATGATATTTAGATGAGAATTGTTGGACTAATTTATTCATTTTATTAGTGAATATTGTAATTAGTTGATTAGTAATTTTTTCGATAGCTTTTGTTGTTGCAATCGTACATGCTTCAGTAATACTATTGAGTGTTTCAGAAGTGATAGGTGAAGTTGTTGATGAAAGTATCGGATAATTTTTAAGATCGTGACTTGTAGGTACTGTTGTAGAATGATGTATGTTAGAAGAAGAAGACGAATATCTATCAATTGCTGCTTGTATACGTTTTTGTTCATTTATGTACTTCGGACAAACATGCGAGGTTGCTTCGTGTGAACCTTGACAATTGGAACATTTAGGTGTGAGTTGTTTTTGATCACAAACATTATATCGATGAGGACCAGCACAATAAGAACATATTTGTTGTGTTTTTTTACAATATTTAGCTATATGTCGAAATTGATAACATGAATGACATGGTTGTGCATTGAGTTGTTGTTTTGCTTTTTCTGCTGGAAAATGCATATGGCCAATTTGTAAACCTAATTTAATAAATGCATCTCGATTCTTGACATCATCGAAAGTAATTTTGATTGTTGTCCCTGTACCAGTTTTTCTTTATTCATTAATCTCTCTACTTGATTCATTTGATAACCATTATAAGTTAAAGCATTTTTAATTTCTTCAATTGATAATTCTTTATCCACACTTTTAACGAATGCTTCTTTATCAATTTTTTGAATTCTTTGTATAGAACGAGAAATAAAGATCTTTGCAGAGTCAGATAATTCATTCATAGGTAATCCAGTAAGTAATGCATTATATGAAGCAATAGTAGAAGGATAAATATTGAAGATTTTTCTTTTATCATTATAAATAATGTTGTTGCATTTTAATTCCGGAATTTTCTTCACTAAAAAATTATTTAATGCTACATGAGAAAGATTAACACCTTCTAAAATTAATGGAGGTAGTTCATAACCTTGTTTCATATTTTGTTGATGAGAAATTACAGCAGGATTCAATGGTTTTTGGTTAGTTGTTGGTAATGGTTCAGAAATATTTTTTTTATTTTTTATTTTTGTTACAGTTGACTGTTGAGGTTCATTGTAACAATCAAAAATCGAATCTAGATAATCTCCAATCAGTTCAATGTTTTCAATTAATTTTTGATCATTCACAATGATCAAAATCAATAAAATTTAAGTACAAAAACTACACGTGTCAGAACACGTGACCAAATAAATGTACTTGATATTTAAATGACGCAATAGAAAGAAAAAAAACGCGAGCGAGAAAACACGTCTAATCGAAAAATTTTTATTATTCTGACAATGATATTTCCCATATACAGTTGTAAGAATATTTGTTTTTACAATTTTAGATAATTTACAATCTCCAAATTATGAACTGATCTTGCGAACAGATTGTTCGTTGGTATCAAACGTTTGTCGACGACGATGGAATTTTATCTCGAATTGAAGGTTAATCTATTGTTATTTATTAGAAAAATGAATACTTTTTAAAAGTTGAATCCAGCTCTACGTATTCAAGTTGTATCGCGTATTTCGTAATGTACGGTAGAAATTATTGATATATAATCTAAATGTAACTGGATATATACATATATGTATATATTTATTTATTTATTTATTATTACTATCAATTCTATTCTTGTTGGATGGCTTGATAAACATGAAGATACCTGTTCTGATCGCTGAACATATAATTCTACGCTACTATTTTTCTAATTCTTTTTATCTTCAAAAAGAAACTTTTGTTCTACTCAAATTATTTACAAAAAAATCGTTCATTTCTGCCCTAATTTTTCATTGTTGTATCGGTCGTTTTTAAAAGAAAGTACATTTTCCCTTGTTAGGCCTAGATGAGATACCTAGATATTGATATCATACTTCGTATGATATCATCTCAGATATATCTCTTTTCTCCTTTTGTTATTGTTAAACTATAAAAGGCGTGTGTGATGATTTTGAATAAACAGTTAATAGCGAACGGATGATTCGCACGTCACCATATTTCTCTCTCTCTCTCCCTCTCTATATCGAACCTTAACATCCCTAGACTGAAAGGATAGGGTCTAGAAACGGGAATTATCTATTTACATGTATTATTTTTGTCGGTAACATGGCACAAGTGACCATTTTTTTAGTACAAATGACCATTTTTTTGGCACATTTGACCATTTTTTAGGCGCAAATGACCATTTTTTTGGTACAAATGACCATTATTTTGGCACATGTGACCATTTCTTTGGCACACTTAACCATTTTTTTGACGCAAATTACCATGTAACTATGGTATATTTTTGTTAATATAATTTTATTTGCTATTATCGTTTTATTTGAATAGCATAATATTTAATATATAATATTTTATTCAATCGTATGAAAAGAGCGCTAACTTAAATATTTAAAATATTTCTTAATTATATATATATATATATATATAATATTTTATTTAATCGTATCAAAAGGGCGCGAACTTAAAAATTTAATTTATTCGTTAAAAAGGGCGCGAACTTAAATATATGAAATATTTCTTAATTATATATAGATCATTATTTTATTCAATAAATTAAAATAGTGTGGCAAAGCCAATTTACTTTTAATACGGAGAAAGATGAAAATAATATTAATAACAAAAAAACGAAACGATCGTGTACAGAGTATTCTAGAGCTTTGAAAAAAAATTTCACCTATTTTTCTATAGCATGTTATTTATCATCATCGACAAATATTTTTAATATATGTTTGAAAAAAACGATGATGTACCGAAACGTCCTGTACGACGACTTATTAAAATAAGACCAATAATGAGAAGCTTAAAAACATACGCATTGTAATTTGATCATATTAAAAGTCAAGTAGTTGCATTATTGCAAAACATTTTAATAAATTTGTAAGTTTAATAGTCTTGCGATAGTGTATATAGACAAGAGACTTCAAAATCAATTTTGATATACAATGATAAAGAGATCTCCACTGTAGTTTTTGTTTTGAAATCCTACTTTTTACAAAACTGACTGTAATAAAGTTAAAGTATTTTTAAACTTTATTATTCATTCGTCAAATATGAAACTTTTAGAAAATGCTTGATTTTATATAAGGTAGAAATTCAATTTGATTTTCTGCTAAGAATCAAAACTAATCTTGATTAACTCTCATTCGTATCTAAATACAGGTATATTAGCATGCAGACCGCGACAGTCTAGGGCCAAGTGAATCGACTTTCGATGAACGCTACTTGTA